GTATTGGGGAATGTATGACATAAATAGAGAAGGCATTTGGAAAAAAAATTGATGCTGGGCCAAAAGTTAATCTTTTATTCGAGAAGTTTGTAGAGCTTCAAACTCGGGAACAGAATCTGAACAGAATCTGAACAGAGTCTGAACAGAGTCAGAACCAAACAGTGAAGCGTTGTAATTATATTAAGTCGAATACTCTGTGAATACATTCAAACCCCCTTTTACTTTTGTAAAATATATTAGATGATATGCAATAAAAAGAGAGAGAGAGAAAGAGAGAGAGAGAGAGTTGCCAAAAAAAATAGAGAGCTTTTTTTTCTAGCGTCATTTTCTATCAAAGTGCAAATTCCTAGGTGCACCCCACATGAATATTCAGTCTCCAACACTGCGTGCACAAAGCGGACGCGTGACAGCGCAGATGAAAAATAAGTTTCTGTTGTTCCCCGGGGTTTTATTGTGCGCGTTATTACCATATGACCGCTCGCTAACCTGCACCTCAACCTCTCGAATTTTCTCTCTCCAGTTTACACATAAACAGGTTTAGTGGGCCACTAGGTATGTTCTTGAAAATATCCTGGACAGGTCATGGATACCTGGTCACCTTTTCCAGTGGATACGTAGCTAATGTATTTCTGTAGTTGAATCTGTCAATGGCTTCATACTTAATCTAGTTAGGTTCAGTTTTCGGATGGCCAGAACCAATTTTAGAACCAGAACCGTAGGCCTGTACCAAACAAAGCTACCAAGAAACAACACTCTCGCTTCATTTCTTTCCTCTATTAAATGTTGGGCTACCACTTGAGTTCGCCGTGATTGGGGTCCCCCCCTTCTCTCAGTCCACCCCCTCCAGCTTGAAAACGCCCTCATCCACCCACTCGACCCAGCTCCTGTGTTGCGGACGCATTTTAATATTAGTTAGACAGCCTGACCCGCAGTTCACCTCCCGCGTTTGACTCGTTCCAATAGTTCACTGCCAAGCGGTTATTGATGAGCGAACAACGATGAATTCCTTCTGCACACAAATGGCCTCAGATCCAACACCAAGCTCAATAACTAGTTATAATGTAGAGAGTTGGGGGGGAGAAAACGAGCCCCGCGGGCGAACTTGCTTGATGTTTCATTTGTACGTTAGTGAATTTTTTTTTTTTGATAACACACAAATGATAGATAGGAAGATAGAGAGATGGATAGATGGACAGACAGACAGACAGGCGTATAGATGTCCTTTTTTTTAGTTTTGACAGAGGAATTGGTTGCAGTGTCCAAACCTACTTAGTCTTTTATTATGTTTATTTATTTATTTGTTTATTTATTTATTACAAAAATGAAATATGGTAAGATAAATGGAAAGATGGGCAGACGGAAAAACAGACAGATATGTATAGATTTTCTTACTATTTTCAGTGTTTGAAAGAGTAATTGGTTACAATATCAACCCTGCTTAGTTAAGCTTTTTTCTTTTTCCATAGATGGATGAATGGATGGATGGATGGATGGATGGATAGATAGATAGATAGATAGATAGATAGATAGATAGACAGACAGATAGATAGATAGATAGATAGATAGATAGATAGATAGATAGATGCCCATTTATTTTTATGAATTTGTTATTATTTTTCAGATTTCTGAGAGTAATTGGCGAATATAAGTTAGCCAATGTTTTTTTTCCCAAAAATGATATAGATGGATGGATGGATAGACAGACAGACGCACTGGCCTCCTTTTCATTTTCTTTTTTTCTGAAAGAGTAATAGGTTACGATTTTAAATTCCATAAACTCCTAGTCAGCCTGTTATTTTAATGCTAATTTCCATTTTATTCATTTCTTTTTTTATTGTTATTATTTTCCATTTGCTTCTCAGTTGAGTCTCGGAACTGACACATTATCTGATGTCATTCAAGGGCAGCCAAATAACTGATTAACTACAAATAAGTACCACTAGGGCTGAGCCACTGTAACGGTTCTTTCTAGCTTAAGATTAGAGATAATAGCTATTTTTTTAAATCTCCATTTTCCTTTCATGCGAATGTCGAAACTAGAATATAATTTAGTATCAGAGCATCACATCATAATATCAGCCAAATAACTAGTGAACTACAAATAAGTGCTTCAGTAAATCCTTTACCACGACTTGTTCTAGTTCTAGTTGTTCTAGAACTTTCTGTGGGCTAAATTCGATTTCACAGAAATATCCTTCCTGTGCATGATTAACTGATCGCTTGGTACTGTATGTTATCTGGACAGTACGTTATCCAACACTGGCAAGATGAATCTCTGAATGGCTCTGAATACCTTCTGTTTGAATAGGAGATAAGTGGAGTTTCCCAAAAGCAGTCTAGCATTTAGATAATAAGGCAGTTAGTTAAGAAGTTCCGGGGAACTCTATAATATGGTGTGTAGTTATTTATACATATTTTCAAAGCGGTATTTTCGAGTACCTATACCTATGTAGGTAGAGTTTTAACATGAATTCATATTATTAGTCACCTGTTAAAGGACGTATATTTAAACGTTAATTAAAAACAAATGACTAATAGGTTTTCTGCTTATAATTATTTAGACATTATATGTAATTGGAAAATATTGACCTATAGCCATTGATTTTGGATCAATGAGTTTGGTGGTTTAATACACTCAATCTCTGGCCTTTCCAGCATCTCTGTAATTGTCAAACTATATTCTGTATTTCTAAAAGATAAATTATTTTATTATTATTATTATTATTATTATTATTATTTCGCATGGGGAATTATAATGTAACACTTTGATAAGGTTTATTATCGTTTAAATGGAATGTTTTTATTAATGACATCATGGCTCTGTTTCCATCAGTTCAAAGCATGCAGGTCTAGCATTATAATACACAGCTTTTTAGCAATTATTAACAGACCGAGAGGTCTTTCAGCGGCCTTTCTCAGAGAACACTGCCCTCTGTGTTTGCTCCGTAGCGAAACAAGAAAGGACAGGTAGGTTTGGACGGGTCAGAAGATTAAAAACCAAGACTTACCGGTTCTGCCAAGCTCTCTGCCCTCTTCTCATAATTTATCCTTTTCTTTTCTGTTAGAGAGACTGAAAGGTGGAGAGGGAGAAAGTGGGGGAAGAGGGAAAAACCGAAATTGATTAAAAAGGAAAATTATATTTTTGATCTGCAACATGGCTAAATGCTAACAATCCACCAATAATAATTCAATCAAGGACAAACACAAAAAATAACAATTAATGACACTATAATCTGATTATCTGATCTAATACTCTCTCTCTCTCTCTCTCTCTCTCTCTCTCTCTCTCCCTTTTGTTTCTGAGGGTGACTTAAGTGAACTGTCCTAAGGCATGATCCTCTTAACTGGGACAATGTTATGCATTTAGCTCAGGTTATTTTCAGAATGATTTCCTTGATGGATTTGTTTATTTTTGGCAGTAATGGAAGATCTAAAACTGACCCCACCCTTTCGGGGGGCCACATGCAAAATCTCCCTTTTGATGAAGAAGAAACTTATAATAAATAAGTAAATAAATAAATATTGAACAATGTCAGGTTCAGTTTTGTACTATGCTGGACTTCAAAGACACTTTATTACGTACAAGCAACAATCATATTTCTCTATGAAAGATAAGATAAGAATATATATATAAAAAAAAGCGAGAAATAAAAAGTAGAGCCAGAGAAGTCTTCCTAAAAATCTCTTGTTTGGCAAGAAGTTTTCATAAAATCTAAAATTAATTGGAATTTTTAAAAATGTCACCGCCTAAAACAATCTGTGCCTTTGACGGCCTTAGCCACCCTTGGTGAACATTTCCTCAGGTAACAAAGGATATTTTGCAGGGCCATAAGCTACCACAATGGGCCAAATACCATCTCTAATACATCTCTAACTCTGTCATGAAACAAGTGTTTCTTATCATTGGGTTTTCTAAACATAAGCATGCTATGAGATTTACCAAAGACTTGTTGGGACCTGTGTGCTCCTGTCCTAACAGGAACTTATGAACAGAACGTGGGAGGCAAATCTAACATTGTAACTCCTTTCTAGTCATCCCTCTGAGTGCCTCGTCTAAATGCCCTGGGTGCTTTTCCATTCTCCTCGAAAGGTGTGGTGGAGCTATCACAAGAGTGGTAGTGCAGTGAGGATTATTTCTCCTTAAAACTTGAAAAGGAGGACAGTGAGCTGACCCCGAATGCAGGAGAACAAACAGAGGGATATAAAACAGCGCCCCCTATTGGCTGTTGGTGTTTTTGTTACTCTTTTCCGATTTCTTATACCATACAGTGCCCACATACACACTGGAAGAGCATATGTATGAGTTTGCACCTTAATGCCATTCAGTTATGTCTTCCCAGGTTTAATTAGACACAATATAGGTGCATTAGATCCTGAACTCTTCCTGGAACGTACAATTTGAGTCTGAAGGAAGTGCATTGAATTTGCATATTTTTATTCAAATGTGTGCATATTTTCCACACCATTGAAATATGTTTATGTAAATTATTGCCAAAAGTAAGTAAACTGAAAGGCAAAATTGTATTAGTATATTTTGTTCATGGGGAAATGGTGCACTTGAAAATTAAGCAATCTTCTCATTCACTTCCTATAACTGGAAAACACACTGAAGTCTTTTTTTCTCTAATTTAAGATTACAAGTTAGGATTGCCTAATGTAGTGCATTGACAAGAGTTTAAGCATTTGAATGAGTTTATATTTATAAACTTAATTAAGTATCAATATGAGGAACATTATCTTCACAATACACTTAAAACATCCATCAATATTTCACAATTTTGTCTCAATGGCTGCAATGTAAACTCCACCAGATTGCTCTGATGTGAAAAAGAAACTTACCAGCTCAGATTTCTTTACAATGGTGGTATAATGAACCAGGGTCATGACTTCTATTACAGCCATAATGCAAATATAGCCATTTTATTTACTATCCAAAATGACCAGTGAACATACATGTGCCTTCTGAGTTTTTATATATATAATGTTAATAATGGTAAAAAATAGTGGTAAATCTGAAAACATGTTTTCTTAGGGGACTATTGTGCCTTAGAACACCCTTCTTGTACCTTTCTGTCATGAAAATATGTAGTATATAAGGCTTAAACCTTATCCCAAAACTATTACCCCATAACCATTTCATGAAATAACGTTTTGCACTGGTAGCTTTAGAGGCATTAAACTCTTCAGACATCCGCCACCACAGTGAACGACTCTGACTCAGTAAGTTTTTCTACAACAAAACATTTCACATCAAACTTCTCAGAATGACTTTGTTTGTATTTTAATAATGAAAATATGATTTAAAACTAAAAATTGGTAGAATCGCCCCTTAAGGGATGTTATTCACAGAATAGAAGCAAAGGACTTGCTTTCTGCTTTCTTGGCTTAACATCTCTAATATTTATAATTGGCTTTATATGTTTCTTTCTTGGCTTAATATTCCGAGCTCAACAGCCCTCAACTGACATGAGCTGCGCGTATTAGATCATGAAAAGCACAAACGTGTACAGGATCTCCAAGGTTACAGCAGAGGCCCGTGTTTAGCTGAAACTGTAGAAGCTAAAGAAGCCTTATGAGACAGTGTAGGCAACACTTTCAAGATACAATCATAAACTATTATGCAGTCAACACAATCTGTAGAGCAGCAATAGCCAGACCAAACTTCCTGCTGACATGTGAAACAGCCCTCATGCCAGCTCCATTAGAGGTCACATTTGGATGAGTTTATAAACAAACACAGTGTTTTCAAGAGACAGGAAAACATCTGCTACTGTAATAATACTGTGATGCAGGCTCAGACCTGCAACCTGCCACATCACAGCCAAATACTCAATGAAGTGACCTTCGGCTAGCTTTGTTCTATCATTTTCACCTTCGTTCTGACCTTTATTTTTCCTCCAGGGCTGATGGCCATCAGCTGATGTTGAGACTTTCTCCAACACTCTGAAAAATAAAGGTTCCGAAAGGGCTTTTTGAAGCAATACAAGAGAGCAAGCAATGTTGGTTCCCTAAGAAAAGTTTTCAATCCATGGCTCTTTAAATGTGTTAGTGTGAACAATGTTTTTAACATTTAAAGAACCTCTAAGGTTCCATGGCAATTAGAGGTATTTCTTAGAACCATGTAAGAACTTTAATTTGTAAGAGTATAAGAGCTCACGTAGTCATGCACTTACAATATCATCACTGTCAGAACAAAACTTTCTATCTCTGTTGTTGATGTTTTTCACTTTTATCATATAATTTGAAAATGGCAGCTACCATTTACATTGTCTCAAAATTTCTTGGCAAATTGACCAATAGAAATTGTTCAAAATGACTTAGAATACAAAAAAAGTTAAGAAGGTCTTTTTCTTTCTCTTATAAAGTAAGTTCATGGGAGATAAAGTAACTTTACAAGAGACGTTAAAACACAACCAAAAATTGAGATACAAGGTTTTGTCCCAACAGCAGCATTAGTTACATAATCAGTGCATTGGTCAATTTGATGTAAGCAACATAAACCCTTTTTCTCTTTTGACAGCTGAATCTGCTCTGAATTGACGACAATGAACAAACCAACTTTAAGTGAACTCAAAGAGTGACTTTTCTGCTCTTTGACGTCATACCTTGAAGTCAGCACTCCTGCTTCAACCCTACCTCTGAGAAACTACAGAAATGTCTCCATCACACTGCCCTGAAGGAAAGCCCTTTGACTGGCCGTGGTATTTACAACTCAGTGGTATTTACAACCATAAGAATAGACAGAAAAGGCCTCAGTTCTGCACACTCTTCAGTCCCAGTAGTATTTCTTCGAATACTTACACTGAGAGGGAGTCAGTGTACATAAGAATTAAGGAGAACGGTCAAACTGCATTTTTGTGCTTGCACCTCATTATAGAGGCTGCAACACAGAAACTGCTTTGACATCGAAAATGACCATCAATCATGAATGGCCTAAGATCACAAAGCTGAGGTATAACTGTACACTCTTAAATACAACAAAAATGATTATTGGGAACTTTGGTTTCCTTGAACAAATTTTTAATCAATGGTTCTTTAGAGAACGCGATTTGTGAGTGTGAAGAACCTTTCAAAGGTTTAAAGAAGCTCCAAAAAGTATAAAGAAAAAGATTCTAGGAAGAAGCTTAAACTGGTAAATGACCTTTACATTACGGGAAACTTCTTTAACACTCACACATCTCATTTACTAAAATGTTTCCTGAGGGAGCCAAAAATGATTTTCTATTACATTGCTAAAAAAACCCCCCAAAAAAACAGTTTTGGCACCTTTTTTCAAGAGTGTTGCTAGGTAGGGGGTCTGTTTTGCAGTTAAGCTCAAACACTGTTCAGAAACATTGTCTCTTGAAAGTAAAGGTTCCTTAATGGTTCTTGTCTCAAGACAAATGCTTCTAGGAAAAACCTTCAGATTCAGAACATTTGTTTAAGCTTTAAAATGTGCATATCCCATTTTCATTAAAAACCATCCATTGAAAGCTTCTTCAGCGAGCCAATAAGGTTCTTTTGTGGTATCACCCAAAAACCTTTTGTTTATTATTTGGCACATTAATTTTTAAGAGTGTACTGGTAACACATTTGAAATAATTAAAAATGAATCAGCCTTAATAATAATAATAAAAAATAACTAATAATAATAATAATAATAATAATAATAATTATAATACTGGTTTCTGTCTATCTTCCATCAAAACTAGCCCATTTTCTTGCCATCATTATATTCCGAGTACAAATTTAACATCATTCTCTGAACAGTGTCTATCTTTACATTAACATTTCCTTTTTTATGGCTGTGACTCAGTTCTTAAAAGCTTCACAGTCTATGGATCATCATCATACAGCAGAGCAGAGACCACTCTGAACACATTCACTACTATGTAACACTGAACGGATTTCAAGGGATATTTCTTCTTAAAAAAGAACCTCTATGATACTCTATATATCTATAATTTAAAAACATTATTTTACATTCTTCAGTACAGGCAATGGTTTTATAGAGAACTATGACAACTTGAAGAACCAATTTTTTTAGCAAGGTGACATGGTTCTTCTCTATGATTGAAAATTTGTTGTATGTGGTTGTTTACAGAACCTTCTAAAATGGTCCTATATAGAACCAAAAAGGGTTCCTCTATTGTTACAAGTCAAGGATCTTTTTTGGTGCAATATAGAGTCCTTTCTGCTAAGAGTGTAGGTTTAATAACAGTATGCAAGAGGACATATTGATGACATATTGCTTTAATTGCACATTTTAATAATAAATGTTCCTAAATGGTGTTTGGATGTACAGTTCTAGGCAAAACCTTAGTTGGTATAAAATCTTGATATTATGTGACTTTTAAAATGTTCTTCATGCTCGCTCATATTTCTCTTTCACAAAAATGGTTATTCAAGAAACCATCTATTGCAAAATGCACCTTTTACTTTTTAGAGCCCTAAACCTTCTTCGGTAGCCTTCTTGGTGTCAAAGAGCACCCTTTCATTACAGCCTCAACATGGATTCAAAGAGTCCTGGTCCTTCGGTACGCCTGCACCGCACATCGAGAGTTTCTCTACCCTTGAGAAACCATTTCAGAGCAAACACTAAAATTTGCAGTGCAGGGATCCTGCTAGTTTGGGATTTTTGAACTACGGCCAAGCACAGCCACAGTGTGGATTGATTCCTTATGCGAGAAAGCAAGGTCAGGCTGTGTTAAAATGACAGGGACCCTTAAATGTGAAGGCCTCAAACCATTTTCTCTTTAATATTATTTCCAACATTTGGGAATATACAGGGATTTGAAGCAAACATGGAAAACTTTTTCTAAAAATGATTTATCAGTGGCTCATTTCATCATGTGAAAGCAAATATATGACAGCTGTACAACATTAACCATCATGAGGCTGAGCCACGAAGAAGCCTTATTAGTTCATTTTCAAATATTTCTTCTTGAAATGTAGCATATGTTTAATAAGCCACAGAATGCAGTAACATATAAAGTCAACCATGTACAAAGAAAGCGGCAGAGCAGAGTCTTTTTCAAGCTCCAGCAAGCCAGGCTTAGAGAAAAAGAGAGGCGTCTGACTGAAGAGAAGGCCGCAGGTCTCTTAGTCCAAATATAACATCGTAAAGAAAGCTATGGCTTAAACTTTTCATACCCTGATTATAATGGTCAAGCGGGGCCTCGTCTGTCAAATGAAAAACCGCAGAATATCTCGAGCAAAGCCAACAAATAACAATGGCTGGGTGTTTTTTTTTCTTCATAAGACCCAGCCTGCGGAATGTGACAGATGTATTTAAATACCAAATATAAGGCATGCATGGTTATGAAACACATAAGGAGATATGAAGAGCTGGGAGTGGCTTTTGACTTTTGTTGGCTTAAGCGTGTTCCTGTGCATTGTTGTCCACGCTGCCCTGTACATGACCCCACTGCACAGCATTGCAGCTCTGCCCTGTACATGACCCCCCATAATGTCTCATCTAAAGATCTATGTGCTGCGCTCTGGGCTTTCATCTGCAACCTAATACAAGCGCTCTAAGCTTCACCAGTTCCTCCACAACAAACAGAGACTTGGCCTAATCATTTCACAATAAGAAAATGCAAAATTCACCGCGTTAATTCTGAGAGATGGTGCAGCCCAAGCCTGGAAAAAGACAATTTCTTTTGAAGTATGGACCCAATATCCTTTTTGAGGATTTTAAGAAGTAATGCCCTCATAGTCGCTATTAAAAAATAGATAGATACAAATAATTACAGTCCAAGAAGCTCTAATTCCTAAACTTCCCAGCTCGGGCATCAGCACCAATTCTATCCAAGCGGAGAAAGAATTTGAAGAGGAGAACAGGAGAAGAACGCATTACGCGCTCCATGAGCCAATTTCTCAAAGAACAATTGAATCAGCCGCGCTGATTAATTCCCGAGAGTGTTGCAAAGGAAAGTGCATATTTAATTTAAAAGGGGAGAAACAAGCTTATTAACTTACTGCGACCGCCTGGGATCCATTTGCGAGAGTCGAACTTTAC